AAAGAGCTGTAAGAAAAAATATTTTTAAAAAGTCATTTCAACCTGTTAATGCAGTACAAAAACTGAGAAAATTAGGTGTTGTCTTGGTTGTTGGCTTAATGAACCTGACACAGAGCTCAATACTATACATAATAATAATCACCTTTATTTGGCCAAGTGTGTTACACACAAGGAATTTGTTTCCATTACAGAACTGAGGCAGCCATTTGCAGCACCAACTCAACCGAAGGCTCTAACCATCGTGGGCAACTTGGGGGTTCAGTATCATGCCCAAGGACACTTTGATATGTGGACTGGAGGCGCCGAGATTCGAACCTCCGATTGGGAAACGACTGCTCTACCCACTGAACCACAGTCGCCTCATCATATACACTTACTTCAGTTAAATATTCCAAAAACCAACACTGCAGGTAATGAAAGACAAGGTATAGGATGCTTGCAAATGGTTAATTGGTATGAAAGGAGGTTTATCTGATATAAAGCAAATTAAAACAAACTTTTTGAAATCTACAATGTAAGTAACTATCAATAATGAATATGTTCAGGTATATTTCTGACATGTCTGATAACCTCTCACTAACTTTCTGCTGAAATCAGGACTCAGTAGGTAGTGCAATGATGCAGAAATGTAAAAAGAATAATTTAAAAAGCCTAAAGTATATGACTGGAGATTTTTCTGATCACCCACCTTAACACTCTGTCATTGGGACTTCCTTTGAGGTGCTCGCTGCCTGGCTGAGGGAGATGCTGCTTATCGTGGGTCTTGGACAGCTTCTCTGCAGCAGCGATGGGGCATCCAGAAAGACTGGACAAATGGAGGAGGAAAAATGCTGAATGTTAACAGAAGAGCATGTTGCTGCCCATGTAAATGTTCACACAGCCGCTGCATAAATATATGAGCTTGCAGATACATAAAAGGAAAAACATAGCTTGTGCATAACAGCCATCTGCAGAAATACACACAGTCAAACACAAATACAAGTCTGCAAAGATACTACACTGTGACTTATGCAAGAATACCTGCGGTGTGTGTTACGGTTGCTGTTAACGTGGCCCTGACCGGTGCAGCCAGGAGTTGGACACTTCAGCACATTCTCATGCATGGCCAGAACTGAGGAGAAAACGGGATACACACACAGAGAGAAAATCCACAGTCTAATTTAAATAATTTAAAACTCATAAGGGACTGCATGAAAATAATTGGGCTGGGAAGCGGGTTGAATCTTCTATTTCACATATCAAAACACAACTTAATCACAGCCGATAACTGGTTTAAGTCCACGGCTTGTTAATCTGCAGGTAAGAGGGAGACAACTGAGTGTGACACATGCTTTTATGTTTCTATTAAGCTCATTATTTTTTCATTTCTAATATAGCTAAAATTAATATAAATCTGGGATGAGAACATATAAAGACAATTATCTGCCCCCGCCCCCCAGAAACTCTACCCTACCATTAGCAAAAAGAAAAAATACAATATTTCCCAACCTCCCCCACTCCTCCTAATAAGTTTTGTACAGTTCCTCCATACCAACAGGAAGCGGTGATGTGAATCTTAATCAGAGAATAGCAGGGAACTGGACTACATTTAATGGACCTGTAGTCATAGCTACGGCAATGCATCAGATATGTATGTAAGACGTAGCTTTACAATCCCATGAAGGGCTAGGGCTAAGCAGGAAAAACATATCATATCTGCAGATTGTTTGAGACCCAGTGAGGAAACCAAATCCAAACATCTATTTAGAATTTAGCTGGTAAGTCAACTTTTAAGTCAACCAGTCAGCTTTTACAGCACAGTCTGGCTGTATCCTCTCTTAGCAGAGTCAATAATGCCAACAGCCTCAAAGTGAGACATTTAGCAGCTACTGAGTCCCTGCAAGAATATTGATAAGGATAAGGATAAGGATAATCAAATTTCAGTTACAGTACTGGTGTACAGTACAGAACTCTACAGAATGAAGAGGGACTTCCATCAATGTCAGACCACCCTCTGCTGTCAGATTTCTGTGCTTATTTCCATCTTATAAGCAGCTGAAAAAAACTCACTCTCCGGGGGGATCCTGTCCTTGTGCGGACAGCCTGACAGGCTGCGGTGGTGGGGGTAAAGACCGGTCACGTGACCTGTCCCATCACAGCCCGGGGTGGGACACTTGATCTCCCGCTTCTCTGACCTGCTGCTCTCTGGATGATGGAGCACAGGAGAATCAGAGTGCAAAAGAAATGGTAGAAGAGAGGAGGGGAAAACAGAATGATGAGCAGGACAGAGAGAAAGAAGGAGTGAGAAGATTATAAGAAAAGGGGAGGTTGGGATGAATGAGGACAAAAGCAAGTGGTTAATGACACCAGACAGTCTGTTTGGCTGAAATAAAATCTAGACATATTTCAGACAACTATATAAAAACAACACCATCTGTATCTGCACCTCATCTCTTATGTATCTCTGTAAATGCACATCATGTTTTGTGCGTAAACCTAACATGGTCTGTGTTCTGTAGCTGCCTTTCCAGAGGAAATACTGTCAGATGCAAGACATACTACTTTTGAGGTTCTGCTGAGTCCACCTACTTATCCGGTGCAGTTGATCGTTTCCACCCTTGATATATTTGTCTGACAATTTAAAGGATCTTGTCTGAACCGCAGACAAAACAACACCTGAAAACGCATCAAGAGGAAATCATACCACTCTCATTTACACACAATTTAAGCTACCTGCTCCTCCTCCCCTCCCTGTGGCACCACAGAAAGCATAAAGGAGCGAGAGGGTGGTGTGATGCTCTACTGGCCTTCAAATTGAATGTTAATGAGACATGCATCTCCTAATTAGCGTTGAGCAGAACAGGAACGTCACCACAGGAGGGAGTTGAGGCCAAGGAGAGGGCAGCACTAGCAGGCATGTAATCACACCACTGCATGACAAGTGGGCAGCGTGCCGAGTGTGAAATACAAGGCCCGAACACATGCAGCATGTAAACAAACACTCCACTACAGACTGTGGAGCAACCTGCACTCTTTCTTCCTCTCCAACATCTCTTGGGTTCTTGCTGTTGTCCCTCTTTGCTCTCTCTCTCTCTCAAGCACTTCCTCTCCGGTCTTCATAGAAGTCTATTCAGCTGTAACCCCTTCAACCTCACACAACGAAGAGAAGAGGAGCTAAGAGCTCTGCAACTCATCGCTGTTTATTCGGTACACTCTGCTTAGTTTGCTTCCTTCATTAAGTGAAGCACATGACACCTTGTGTTGATTTAATACAAAATTTTCTGTACATCCACCAACATGTGACCATGTTTACACCCCAGTCATCTCTGTTTAAAGAACTATATGGCTAGTTTTGCATATTTAGACCAACTGATTATAAACTGAGTTTACCGCTCACATTTTACCAAACCCTACAATACATTCTGAAGAGATTTCTTACTTTTTAGGAAGCCACTGGTTTCCATTCGTGACATTACGTTACAAAAATGTACATGAAACTTTCTTAATATCTCAGTGAAAACTTTGTTACTTTCATTTTTATTATATTTCATTATAATGTAGTAATGAGTAAAGAAGGATCTGAACACCCCATTCATTTAGACATCGAATCTTTTCGAATTAATTTGCTTTCTTGCCAGGAGTTAGCTGAAAAGATCAAACCTGTCATGTCTGGATGCTAAATGAAGCTATAGAGAGAAGACAATTAGTGTAACTTAGCATGAACACTGGAGCAAAGGGGGAAAGGTCCATTTGAAACACCCCACAGTAAAAAGAAATACAGCCTACAGGTACACAAAATTAACATAAAGTACAACTCGTTTTATCTTGTTTGTTTAATCCGTACACAAAAAGAAAAGTAAAAATGAAAATGGTTATACATTTGTGTCTGTGAACAGTTTAAACAAAAAAGATTTAATGTAAAGGTTCATAGTAGCAATCTCATCTAACTCTTGGTAAAAATGTCCACCCATCCATCCATTATCTATACCGCTTATTCCTGAATAGGGTCACGGAGGCGCTGTGGCCAATCCCAGCTGACACTGGTCGAGAGGCGGGATACACCCTGGACACCAGTCTGTCACAGGGCTGTTGCAAAAAGGTAAATAAGCAGATTTCCCAAAATGTTGAACTATTTCTTCAATGAAAGAAATAACAAATTCACTGTTTCTTTAATTGCTCTCTGTTTTGTCTTCTTAATTAGATGTTATCCCCAACACACAGCAGTACATAACACAAATACTAATAAAATAAGAAGCCAAACATCACATCTGTTACTAAAATAAGAAGCCAAACATCACATCTGGGAGGCTGGAGTGTCCTTGAATTCATCACCAGGTGACGACACTGCTTGCAGCAGCACTGCCATGTGATGCTAACACAGCTTTAAAAAATAAAGTAGACTAAATGTTCATGATGTATTGCCTACATCAAGTAACTATCATACTTCAGTACATGTTGTAGCTCCGCCTTTTAGTTTCTTCACTGTGTCCTACCTTTGCTGAAGTAGCTCTTGCGGATGACCTCCAGGTGCTTGGGCCTGTCATCCATGGTGAAGTATCTCTGGTGGTGGAGATCTGGGGCGGGGAGTAGCTCTCTGGGCCCAGCTGGCTTCACCTGCTCTGCCTTCAGAGCAATGGCTTGCTCCAGTAGGCCCAGGTTCCCTCGGGTCATGTCAAACATCTCTGACTCGTCCGTCACTGTGGAACGCTGTGACAGGCTGTCTTCATCGTCACGCTCGTCGTCACCGTCCATGTCATCGAAATCCTTCTCCTCTGACTTATCGGATCTCACTTCAATAATGTCAGGAGAAGCTGAAGATGAGGCTTTGTGGATTTTATAGTTCTCACCTCTGGGGCTGGGATAGTAGTCCTCCAGCGGACTGGCCCTGTGGGAGCTGTAGCTTAAAGGAGGGCTGGCCTTGTAGTTTTGAAGTGGGCTAGTTTTATGAGAGTCACATTTGTCGGTGGGACTTGCCCTGTGTGAGCTGTAGTCCTCCACAGGACTGGCCCTGGGATCTTCAGTCTTAATGTGTGTTCCCTGAGCTGCTGTGGTGCTGGTGATGGTGCGGATGGCAGATGGCACATCAGAAATGGGCAGAACATGGTCCCTGTAGTCCTCTTCATCTTTCTCTTCATCCCCCTCGTCTGTGCGCCTCTGCTGTGCTGGCACTGCCATGTCTTCCTCCTCTACCTCCTCCTCCTCATCTCTGACCTGTTCATGGTGGATATGTTCAGTCAGATACTGGTGTATCTCCGGGCTCACATGGTTGCTTCTGTCTTCACTCTCTCCTTGCTCATCCTCCACCTCCTCGCCCTCCACTTCAACTGCCTCCTTCTGCAGGACAGATGACTCCTCCAGTACTTGAACTTTTCGATCTGCCACCTCCTCCTCTTCCTCATTGCTCTCATTCATGCCAACCTCCTGCTCATTCTGTCCTTCTTCATCCCCTTCGGCTGCCACAGTGACATGCTCCCCAGTCTCCATAGCAACAGACTGCTGAATGGCCACAGTTGGAACATTGTTGTTAGAGACACGGCCGAGGTGGAGGAGAGAGTTTGCTACCTCTTCTGCACTCTGGAAAAGAGACTGACACTCCTCAGATGCAGGTGGCGCTGCTCTGAGCTCAGGCTCGATGATCACGCACTCCTCCTCTGTGGAAACAAAGATGAAGAAGTCGGAAAGATTGAGTCATGCAGTGAGTTAAAACTGCTTGTTGGCAACATCATCACCAGCATCACTGTCCTGCCTGCCAAGTCATTCACTGTGAGCTCACAGTGAAATAAAAGCACCTGCTGTGACAGGGTCTGTAAATGTAAAGCCCCTTGGAGATGCAGAAACAATCTCACCCACAAAGTCCTGGTGCCCCTGGTGGTCATTAGGAGGCATGAAAGCTCCTTCAATATTTCTGACCTGCATGGGGATTTTTCTAAATTTTTGGGGGCTTTTAAATTGTTTTGCTGTCTGTCTGGTGGAACACACACCACTTTCCTATGATCTCATGTACCTGCTATGCCTTTATCTTGCAACCACTAAGTTATGCTGCTTCACAGTCCTTAAACACTCACAGTATGGCAAATAGTACGAGGCTTTCTTGGCCCGGATAAAGCAACAAAACAACAAAAAGGTTTCACAAATGAAAAAGGTTATGTTAGGTCATACATGATAAAGGTTAAGATTAAACCTAATTTTTAATCATAGGAAACTTTTCATCAAAAAGCTACAAATTATATGAATTTTTGTCCCTGATTAAAAGAGCATTCCACCAATTTCACACATGAAGTCCATCATTTTACTGGCCACATGGAGCAGCCACCACTCAGCCAGTGAAGGAGTAAAAGTCAGGATATGCTTCGATTTTGATCATTCTTTTTTAATAGCTATCATGTCAGTTCCGTGGCTTTTTTTAAAGTGCAATACTTAATCACTGAAGCACACCTTTAATCTCCCGATTACTGTTTCAATCAATTGATTAATCATTTAGTCTCTAAAACAGTCTACTCACTTTCCAAATGTGATGCCTTTAATTGTCTTATACTGTGTGATTAACAGTCCAATACACACAATAACAATACTATACACAGTGTACACTAATATAAAACAGAGGGAAGCTGCCAATAGTCACATGTGAGAAGTGGAAACCTGTAAATGTTTGGCATTTTTTATGAATAAATTAACTTAAATGATTAATTAACTATTAGATGTACTGTATGAATTGATTACTGGACTACTTGTTTCAGCACTCTCTGGACACAGAGTATTGTTTAGGTGGGTCCTACGTTTCATTGTACTTGATGTTTCCTTGCCAATGAAGAAGAAGATGTAGTTATGACAACCTCAGGAATAAACAGCCTACTGTACCTTCCCCAGTTACAAATGTGTTCTCCTCTTTCTGATATGTGTCCTCCTCTTCCTCCTCTTTTTGTTGACCGTGTGTCTCCAGTTTCTGTACATTTGTCTCTCCATCCTGCAAGTCTCCTCTCATCTCCTCTCTCTCCTCCTCTACAGCTGTCTTCATCTCCTCCTGCTCCTCCTCCACCTTGGTTTCTCCTGCTTTTTCTGCATCCTTCTCTCCATCGCCCTCAGCCTCGCTGCTGGCATCACTTTCTGTGCTGAAGCCCTCATCCAGGGCCAGTTTCAGGGGGTGGGACTTTCTCTTCGAGGCAGGCCGCTCTGTTTCCTGCTCAGCCTCTGCTTCTTCTAGACGGCGCTTTCTGGCTATGGGGCACCCCAAAACACTGGTAGTTGAAGACAGAAGGAGATCATAAGAAAATGAAGAAATAACAGAAAGACTCATGAATAAAAAGCAAGGCTGAGTGGAAATCGCAAACACAACATGTCAACCTGAACCTCATGCACCTCATGCCCTGAAGAGGGCGCCATGCTGGCTCACTCAGACATCACAACCAATCTCAGCCAATTGACTGGAACGTTTAATGAACAACTTGCATGGAGAGGCAAGCAGGCGAGGCAGCGGACGGTGAAATCCAATAAACTCCCTCTTACTCTCACCTGGGAGATGCCGAGGGAGACTGAGGGACAATCTATAAACAAAGTGCATCTGAAATTGCCTGCTGAATGAATACACATGTAAACAGATAGCTAATATCTGCCCCTCAATAAAAAGGAGTCACAAGCCAGTGAGCTGCCCCAAGTCCCGCAGGGTCTCTGAGGGCGAGCGACACAGATGAGGGATGGAAGGAGAATGAAACCTGGAGAAATTCCATTTCACCACTGTCCACTGAAGACTTTATTACTTACTAGGATTAGATTTAGAGCCTATGGGCATTTTGTGTAATCTCAAAAATAGCTATACTGACTTGCATGTGATTATACAAAATTATATAATTAATGTGCTGTTTTTAATCAGATTTTCATCATTGGACTCATTTAGTGTCCTTGAAATATATTCCTATTAAGCAAACCTTCAATTTACTCTCATCTCAAGCTCTAAAAGTTGTAATCTGAGGGAGTTTTCTCTGCCCACAAAAGAACCTTATGTGACCCCTCAAGCCAAAAGGGTTGCACAGCTTTAACTTACAGTATGCATTGCACATCTGACTATATAGTGAAGGGTGTGCTGTATTTAAATCTATACCGCCATGCATCTATTCTGACTTACATATTTGATCAAATGTAAAGCCTGGACTGCATGCACTCAGAAAAATTATAGGAGCAATACGACTCTTATGTTTGTATGTTTAAACTGAAGCTACAACTGGCCGCCGGTTAGCTTAGCTTAGTACAAAGACTGGGAACAGGCAGACACAACCAGCTTGGCTCTGTCAAAAGGTAACAAAATAAGCCTACCAGCTCTAGCCCAAAACACCCCATAAAACTACAGCTTACACATTGTTTTTAGTGTGGATAAAACAAATGAAACATCACCTGGGTTTAGAGGTACTGGCAGGTGGATTTGTTATCTTGGAACTGACCCAGATTAGCTATTACCTCCTGATTTGAGTCTTTACACTAACCAGCCGCTGGCTGTTGCTTCATAATTATTATAAAGTTATAAGAGTGGTATCGATCTGTTTATCTAGGTGTTGTCAAACTGTTCCTTTAAAATGTGAAATGTATTTTCTACAGACCAGATGCTGTGGGGTTAGAGAGGACAAGGAGGACAGACAGACAGAGGGTAGGTTTTTAATCTGCCCTACCTTCTGTGTCGTGAGTATCTCCCACTGATATGGCCAGAGCCATTGCATCCAGGGGTGGGGCAGCTGGATGAGATGGATGGAGGTTAGAGATACTGTATGTTTAAGACTTGGTGCATTTTAGTCCTTGTGCAGAACCCATGATAACAACAGGCAATATAAAAGTAAATTACGATAAACAAAATGGAGCAAAGCAAAGACATGCAAACTGAGCACACATGTCACACCGATGCACATGAACAAAGATATGCACCCCCCATATCCTTCCAGCAGACACACATAATGCGTGAATACAGGTGGCATCAAGCTGGGGAGAACATATTATTGTGTATCGTACATCCTGTTACTATAAGCGATAAGGATCAGCTGAGACCTGTAATTTCCCCTGCTCTGCTCTCCTCTCCTCACCACTCGCCATCATCAGGTCTCACTTGCTGCCTCTGTCTTTTTTCTCTCTTTCCTCTGGTTCAGGTTGCTTTGACCCCTCAGGACAGCTCATTTCAATTCTCATTTACTTCCCCCAGCTATTGCCCTTTATTACTCCAATTATCCTTATTATTCATTTCACTTATTAAAAAATGCTGCATTTGCATTTTAAATGAGTCACTCTCTGGTTTTCTTACTGTTTTTTTTTTCTTAATCCAGAAACTAAAAGGGTTTTTTTGAGTGCTCAGTACAGATCAGTGCTTAGAGGTGAGCTGTGACAAAATGAGAGAGGATGTAAAAATACTGTAAAAGGAAGAAGAGAAGGGAGGGCAGTGGGCTTCATGACTGCTGAAGTCTGGGTGGGAAAGAATGGGGATGAGGTAGGGCAGGTGGAAAACTAGGAAGGTAGGACAAGAGAAAAATTAAATAATCCTCTCTCCTCATGTTGTATCCTTTGATCGGACTGCAAAATGATCATACACCCCTTTGATTGCATCTACTGTCTGTGTTCATAGCAGGAAATAGCAAAAGGCTGTGAGAAATCAATACCGGCCTGTTGGAGGCACTGACCATGAGCTGAGAAGTGCTGATGGTAAGAAATAAAAAATAATATTATACAACATTGTCTAAAGAAACAATGATAGCAAGTCTACGAGTGCCGGGGGGGTGCTCTGCCGTGCACATAAAAGAACTTTATGAAAGGGGTTTGCACAAAGATGAAGGTGTTTCCTTACCTCAGCTCCTGTCCTGCGAGCTCAATAGGAGCTGAGAGAAAGGGGGGGGGGGGGGGAACAAAACACGGGGCAAAGGTGAACGTTTGCTCAAAAAGCTGTGCTGCTAAAAGAAACAGATCAATAAATCACAAATGCATAAATCCCATGAGGTTTGCTCATAGCAGCTTACACACTGCTGAGTGTATGATCAGGAAAAAAAACGCCTACACACTCCTGAGATCCCATACACACACACACACACACACACACACACACACACACACACACATCAACGAGCAAACATACAAACACACAAACACATGTTTGTAACGGCGAGCACAAAAGGACTATCGGTGGTGGCCTGCACAAACATACTGTATGAAAAACACACATACACACAAAGGTTACAACAGAAGCATGCACGCAGAGGCAAAAACCTAAATCAGCTAAACTGCATAATGCTGTTCAGAAAAAGTGACAACAATACGCAGACTTCAGCAATAAAACATGATTAATTGTTGCACTTTAGTTATCATAATTGGGAAAATGAAATTAAAAGGAAAACTGCCTTCATCAGTGGAAAACTGCACTTCTTTCAGGAACAACTTATAGTAATTGCCTTGAAAATATAAATCAAGCTCTGCACACACACACACACACACACACACACACACAGCTCTGGGTTGGCTACAGGCATTGATTGGGAATTGAGCAATAGAATGACTTTGGAGAAATATCCTATTTTCATTTGGAGCAAATAAGAAAACAATATGATCCTGGAGAATTCGGTTTGGGCTCCGGTATCACATGCATTAATCACATGTGTAAACGACCCCGGGTATCATGATACACTAAGAGCACAGAGAATGCACACTAATACACTAACACACACGCACTGTTGATGTGTGTGTGCAGTGTCTTAGTTTCTCAGTCTTTCATCATGCAGCTGAAATGAGTGGACGCCTTCCTGGATGCCCTGTGAACTGTTGCTCTGCTGTCTCGCTTCAAAACATCAAACACACACGTACACATAAAGACACATTTTAATATGCATATATACACACTCACATTCGGAACATACACTAGATAAATTCACATTCAGATGCACTGGTTTATTGTACATGCACATGCATGTCTGTATTTGTTTATCTCACAAAAACATCTGCATTCAGTCTAATTCTGAAGTGGTGCATTGTGGTCAGAGGTCATCTAGACAGCTTTTCTCTGTTAAAGTGTTGCCATTTTTATCCTTATGTATACATGTATAAGTTTTACTGCTCACAAAATATATAAAATAACATAGTAGTTAATCCATATGTTGTAATTAATCAAATAACACAGGTTGATTTGTACTGGGAGTCAAAAACAGAGTCTAAACTGCAGCTAAATACAAGCTGTAAGACTGTTGATGGTCAGGTGTCAGTAAAACAGGAGGCGTTAATAAAAATCAAAATGGCCAACTGGGCCACACTGCATGAATTTCCTGTCAAAACCTGAGGCTCTTTATCAGATACAGTGACCCCAGATAAAAATAAAGTTGGTCTGAAGAGTCTGTGACTGAACAAAAGAATAGTCACTGTGCCGTGCTGTGTAATTAGAAATGGGAGGAGGTAAATCAAGTTGGTTTGGAATGAAAAAGCTTCTGAGAAAAATCTGTATGCAAGCACTTTTAATGTAGTATCTAAGTTGTAACTTCAATATAAAAGCATGAGCTACATATGGCACGTGTGTCATCAGTGAAGCTTTGTCGTGCGCTGCACAACCAACTTGATGAACACATGAAGGGATGAACTTTGAATGTTTGAAAATTACACCTGGTTTTTTTTTATTATTATTTATGAGCCTGAGGAGAAGTTGTGTGACATTTGTGATCTGTGGACTGTTCTGTTCATATCTAATTAATGTACCCCATACTGTACATTTCAACACAATGACAGACACTTTATGTAAACATAAGCAAGTGCACAGATGCACAAACAGGCCTAGCTCATACACACATACAGTACATGAATGCACACACTCCTGCTGTACTCAGCCTAAAAGCAGAACTGATGTTTGCATGTGAAGGCAGGGACTGATGTGATGGAGAGAGGTGATGAACTCTCACCTCTGATGCCCTTGGACCGGGTGCGAGCCCGCTTGTCATCGCCCTCTACACTCATCTGGAGAAAAAGAGAAAACAGAGGATGAGAATGTGAAGTGGGTAAAGGAGGAAACAGAGAAAAGAGACCATGAGTAGTCATTTCTCAGTGCTCCCACTATATTTCATCACACACCCACAGTTAATTGTTGTTGTCTTCCACTGCTTCCAAAGAGTCGCTCAGAATGTTCCCACCGAAACACACCAATGGTGCCACCGACACACACAGCGCGCCCTCGTCCCTCTCCCGTCGTCTTCTGCCACCACAGAAGAAAAACTACCCTGCCCTGCTTGCTTCATCACATTAGAGACACAAACAAAGCCTACATGATGTAGAAAAAGGGAAAAGCCCTGTTGTTCAAGCTACTTTACAAATCTGTTCCCTACCGTCACCCTACACACACCTCCCATCACTCTCCCTGTAATTTCCTGCACCCAAGTGGTACACATGATTGTACGCTGTGCAGCGCCCGCACAGGGGCCACAGCCCCCGTAAGCAGACGGACTGACAATCATAACTACGCTGAAAATAATAATAAAGCAAAAGCACAGAGGCCACTAAAAAGCCACTGTAATAGTCCTTTCAGGAAGAGGAGTGTGTGTGTTTGTGTCGTGTTCAGTGCTTACTTCTGGCTCGGCTTTTAAGCCACAAAGGCGCAGGTGTTGACCCTGCTGCCTTGAACACACACACACACACACACACACACACACTGACCCCCAACCACACCTCCTCGGCACTACCTCTCCATGCTCAGCACTGCTCTCAGTGCACTCTAAAGCTATCAGATGCTTTTTAGACACAATGGAGCCATTAGCTTTGATTACTGGACTCTGGGGTTTTTTTTTACCTCAGGTCTTTCGCTCTTTCTGTCTCACACTTCCTCACTCTTGTACACCCTCCCCAAACACTCCTTTATCCCCCTATTTGCCTGCACCCCCTCCTATCCATGCCCAGCCACTTAGCTGCTTTGTTGCTTCTCTATAGTCAAGTTGGCACCGCCACAGTGGGATTCAAACACGGGGTCCCTGTTTCTCTTCTTCTTTTATCCCCCTCACCATCCCTCTATTTGGCAATGCCCCCTTCCTGCTAATAGACTACTTATGAAAAGAAGGGGGGAAAGAGGGATGAGAGGAAGATGAAGCACGCTGTTGTTGTTGTTGTTGTTAAGGGCTTTTCTTTTTTTCCTGCGAGGAGCGTACGCTTCATTCATTAGCTTCTAGTGTTGTGCCGGAGGTACAGGTGCAGGCACGGGCCCTTCCCTTCCTGTGCGAGTCTCCGCCGCCTTTGCCTCCTCCACTCTTTCTCTCGTCGCTCTGGCCTTAACTCTTCTGATCAAGCGCTGTTAATGTAGAAGTCAGGCAACAAGCAGCAGCTTTGTGCCCTGCCTGAAGGGAGCAGTTGACTCCTTCTGTGCTCCGCTCGCAGCTCTGACGACTACGAATGAGCCTGTAGCGAAGAGTTTTCTGTCAATGTGTGCACGTACTCTCACACGAGTCCGTTTCCTTACGCTCAACTGTCTGTATGTATGTATGTGTGAAGTACTTTACTGTTTCTGTGTTACGCTGCTTTATACTTTATACTACTCACTACATTTCAGATGGAAATACTGTATTTTTGACTTTTTACATGTCTTTGGTTACTGATTTTAATTGTACACATGAAACCTATGATTAGTTTAGAAAGCATTTTTAAAGATTAAACTGTTCAACATATGAAGCAGAACAAATTAGCATCACCTCCATTAACATGCTACACAGAAATCATTGTAAGCATAATAATACCCAAACAGTATGATCTATCAAAAGAGAACAGTCAGAAGGACACAAGTTACAAGTACTCGTAATAAGTACCCAGGGACTACTTTTGCAGTTGCTTGAGTGTATATGGAAATACTGTGAACTATTTCCTATTTAGGACAAAGAATAAAGCAGAGATTCTCTTTTAATAAACAAATCTTCATATTGAATCATCTTTTGAAAATGTTAGCAAGCAACCAGTGAAGCTGAACGAGGTGATGGATAAATGGCTCAAATATACTGTATGGCTAAGTATGAGCAGTTTAAATAGTTAGCTAAAAGTTAGTGATAAACAGGCAGCATGGTTACTTTAGAGTGTGAGTAATGGAAAAATGCTTTGTTTGGTCTGTGGAAAGACAGGGTGGTAGAAAATGCTCCTTTCAAAGCCCAATCTGACTTATTGAAATAGCTTGTATTAGCCAAACAATAGTTTAACGCCCACAGTTTACTATCATGTATCATGTCATACATAAGTTACATTATGTATCACATATGGATCGATTATCAAAATACAGTAGCTGTCAATCAACCAATTGATGAATTGATCCATTCATTACAGGTCTAACTGTGAGTTTTACTTAGAAAATATGCTGCTGGACCATTTAAATGAATGGAAGTACATTTATGAATACATGAGTGTAAGAGAAGTGCATGTGTGTGTGCATGTGAATGAGACTTCATGAAAAGAGCACATACTATTCTGCTACTTTGTGTACTTTCTCATGCTCCTTTCTTTGCCTCCTCCTTACGTTAATAGTCACCAGATGAATCAAAACCTGGACTGAAAAGGGCACCCATTGCTTTCATGTTTGTGTAACCATAGTTACGCACATTTAAATAAGTAAGCACATCTGAGTTCTCTTTTTCTTGTCCTTTTTCTCAATACCACCTCATTAAATTTGTATGAACACAAAGTCACAGCCTGTGAATCCAGATGCAGAAAAGCAGGCATTCACCTGATTTCCATGATCTCGTTTAATGCACCGTATGTTCAGAACTTGTCCTTTACCTTGTTGTCTTTTAATTACGATGCCTTGATCAATGTATGTAGGTGGGCCTCCACTCTACCAGCAGTGTTTTTATGCAGAACAGAGAAAGGGAGAGAAAGAAAATTAGAGGAGAAGAGAAGAACAGTGCATCCGGGCGTGTGTGTCTATGTGTGTGCTGCAGCATGTGTGTGTGTGTGTGTGTGTGTGTGTGCTGGGGTCTAACTTGTGTGAAATGTGGTGGGGAGCAGCAGCACATGAAAAAGAAAAAGATGGAGGAGGAGGAAGAGGAGGAGGAAGACATGGTTCATCCCTACAGGCTGTGTTGTACTTTATCAATTACGTCCTTCTCTGTGTGCGACGGTCGGCCTCGGCTCTGCTCTGCATTCTGACAGCTCTATGTAAATGGCTGGCTGGGGGCAATGACTTCAGAGAGAAGGTCACCCTTCGTCCCCTGGTGCACATAAATGACTCTTTTATCCATTTTCAGTTTTACAGGAGTAGATGAAGTAAGGAGGGGGTTAAGCGAGCTGGAGAGGAGCGTTCACAACTGACAATGACGGCTGACATCTCCAAACATTACCTGCAGACAGCAGCTGCCAATTAGATGGTTCTCTGGAGAGACGGACCACGCTGCGCAGCCTCCATGTTGTATCACCGCATGGCGAACCCCTCTAAAGTTTCACTTTAATAATTCACACAAGGCGGAGCAGAGCGGTGAACA